AAGAAATTAACGATATAGTGGAACCACTATCGATAAGGACATCAACAGGAACCCCTTGGATAATAGCAACAACGATATCTTTATTCTTATTGCCTGGGTTTTCCTGACAAAAGTTTACATTGCTTTTGTTACGCGATTCTGACTTTAATTTTGCAAAGCAAGTTTCAATATTATGGCCGGGTTTTTTACAAAATTTACAAGGCTCGAGCTTATTTGAATCATGAACTGAACTATTCTTTTGACCATCGTTGTTGCTGTTACCGTTATTGAAAACTGGTTTACGTTTTTTAGTACAATTGGACTGTCTATGGCCATGCTGGCCACACGAGAAACATTTTCCACCTTCAAACTTTCGTTTTCGGCCCATATCGTTATTGGGTTTTGGGGTGTCAGATTTCTTAATAGGAGCAGACGGGGATTTAACATAAATTGAAAAAAAATCTACCAAATCATTAGGCATTAACTTTGCATTAGTGGCTGAAGCACGAATTTGCGGATCTGTAATACCCCGTATTACTATTGCTGATATTAGTTCATCGCTTAGCCCTTTAACTATACGCAACCTTAATAAGGACCGACGAGCATAATCAGCATATGTCGGGTACTTGTCAGAATTAGAACTCATGACCTCGTACAGAATATTCGCAATATCCGGTTTCCTAGGGAACCTTTGTGAGGTTTGAACTCCTTTTTGAATGTGGTCCAAGTACGGTCATTAGTGACCCATTCATTTAGCCAGGTGCGAGCGTCACCTTTTAGACAGTTCCCTATTCGAGCAAGACACTCATTATCATTCCAGTGGTTAGTAATCCTTGCACGGTCTACTTCGTCACACCAGGTGTCTATGTCATTGATACTTGGATCGAAATTAGAAATAAAATAAGTTTGGTTAGATCTTACCGTCGTGTTAATTGACCGAATCGCATCGATGATACGATCGGTCGCGTTGACGTCGTGGTCCGCATCAGCACTCACGGTACGCCCCGTTGAAGATGGGGCCTCCGACTCACGACGCTCAGCCGCAGGGTTACGATGCTCAGCCGCAGATTCACGACGCTCAGCTGCAGGCTCACGATGCTCAGCCACAGGGTCACGACGCTCAGCCGCAGATTCACGCGGCGGAGACCGGCGCCGTTGATCTTCCAAAGTCGTTAAACGATCTAAAATTTGATGCATGGTTTCGGTTAAAACATTGCTAGGAGGAGTAAACCGTTTGTGTGTACGTCTATAACGTGAATTATGGTAATCGGAACGTGAGTCTCGGCTCCTGGAACGCGAATTACGGTTCCTGGAATGCGAATTACGGCTCCTGGAATGCGAATTACGGCTTCTGGAATGTGAATTACGGCTTCTGGAATGCGAACTACGACTTGCAGAACGCGAAGCATGATTTTTAGAATGCAAAGCATGATTCCTAGAGCGTGAAGTACGCTGCCTAGAATGGGAAGCACGTTTCCTAGAATACGAAGCACGTTTCCTAGAACGGCTTCTACTTTTGCGACTATCAATGTTATTAGGCATTTTGCATTGTTAGCAAATAACGTGAGAAAAAGCCAACAAGGAATGCAATGGTTGAAATTGTGCAAAATAGCTACAAAACGTAGGTAGGTACGTTAACATACAAAAAAAAAAAAAACACCTTCGTGGTAAAATGAAAACAAAATGGAACACACTCACCAAAATTTCCAACGTAGGTAGGTAGATAGATCCTACCATACCACATACAAAACCTCAACACTCGCCACGAAGAAATAAGCGGTAGGTGGCAAAGATACCGTTAATTTACTTGTTTTGCAAAAGCCAAACTGCCTTTTTCTTTATGCACAAAGCGGAAAAGGACACGTAAAAATGGGAATTAAATCTCACTTCTGATCTTAGAAATGATTGAACAATAAGAAAACATTTAATGACAATTTTAGGTTTATTAACAAAAGGATTTCACGTTTTACAAAAGAAAATATTTTACAGGGCTAACAAATGCACAAAAAATAATTAACGGTAACTTAAATCAGAAAAAGACAATTCGACTCTCAAACGGGCATAGACTCCCCTAACCAAGTGAACACTACTAAATATTCCGTCGGACTGGACGTGCCGGGCCAGCTAACCGCGCGCTCACGCCACCTCTCGGCATACCCCCAAATTACGTCGTCATTTGATTTCCGCTAACAGTATTATAATAAAAGTGATGTCATATTTCCAAATGTATCCCATTGTAGGGATGGCGATTCTTTCCGAAAAAGATCGATTTTTTAAATCGTTTGGAATCGAAACCTGATGTATCGATTCACAAAATATCGAGGTCTAAAAGATCGATTCCTAAAATATCGTTTTCTTTTTCTTTTTTTTTTCAAGTTTGCGTTTCCAATGAATAATTTATAAATGAATTTTATGAATAATACTTATTATGAAATAAGTTATCACTAATTAGTGTAATCAGGGTTCTTTTAGTTCAGAGAATTTAATAATATTGCATTTTTTTCTAACAAGTCCATTCTTTATCTATATAAAATAGCATTTCGATTTTCCTGGGTTAAATATCGATTCACTGAATCGATCCAGTGCTACATATCGATTTAAAAAATCGATCTTATTGGCCCGAAAAATTATTCGATTAATCGATCTTAGATCCCCATCTCTATCCCATTGTCTTTCGAACAATTTTAATTAACAAGAACATTATTCCTTTTGAGCCATTCGTAATAAACAATAATGGAGTTACATATTAATAAAAATAGTCACTATTGCAATCATGTGAACCCACCCTAGTCATCATGGTTCATACTGTTAGCTTTCGCAAGTGAACCTCGCACTCCGCCGCGTAAACATCGGTTCGTTCGATTTATTGTTGTGAACATACTTGAATTAATAGTAAAATATTATAGTTTAAATTAAAACTAAATCTAGTAGGTAGGTAACGCTTCGTGTTATTAAAATCATGATTTTTGAGTGCACCAAGTTTTCTGACGCTTTTAAATTCGGATCGTTTTAATTTTTATTTTTCTGGTTCGTCATGTGTGGGTAAGTAGACCTTCCTACTTAAATACATTTTTGTAGACTACTATTGATTTTGTTTGTTGGATCTATGCACTGTCATTGTAATTGTCAGCTTTAAAAATATCTCCACCACTTTTAACAGAGATTTANTTTTTTTCAAAAAGTATCAAATTTTATTATTTGTTGGCATTTTCTGGGTATTTTATGTATGTTTTTAGTATTGCCCGTTATTTAGCATTATTACTGTTTTTATTTTATCAGGATATACCTCTTAATTTAAAAGTTATTACGTTTTCTTTACGAGAAGTAATTGGAAGAAATAAAATTCTATAAAAAATTAAAAAAAAATCTCAAAAATTTTTTGGCCTCTTTTTTGTCGATAAAAATTGGTCTAGTTTCACATATTTTCATATGTACACTTTAACGTGACTCACACTGTATACTCGAGTTTGGCTGGAATAAAGTGGTGTCTTTTTACTAGATACATAACTGCTGTCTACAAAATACAAAAAGAAATGAGATTTGGGGGCACGGTAGTGCAACCGCCAAGTCGAGTAAAATTTTTCAATTTCGGTCCAGTTTTCTAGATACATAACTGCTGTCTACAAAATACAAAAAGAAATGAGATCCCATCAAAAACAATACTTGTCAAAAAATCATGAAAACACGTGTAAATTAAATTATTTAGTGCGATGGCCAAGTCAATAATTTATGTAAAACGTTAAAGATTTCCTGGCCTGGACTTGGTATTACATGGATCTCACAACTTTTTACCGTAGAACAACTGAGTTGCGAGACTTGGTTTTTTTTACAAGTATTGTTTTTGATGGGTTAATATGTTAGAATAACATTCGCGTGTGGTTTTATTTAATGGTGTTGGTGGTGATCGGCATGCGATAGCTTATTACCGGCGCTCGACACTTGGATACCAGGCGAGTCCTTTATTCTGAATTGGGAACACTAGCACAAGCAAAACAGGGTTCAATCCGACGAAGCGAGCCGCGGCGAGGAGCGAAGCGACGAAGCGAGCCTGCGGCGAGCGTTCGGAAGTTTCTCACTCTCAAAAGCCATCATATTATATATTATTCCATCTCTGAATTTTTTAATGATTATCCTGCTTTCGCCTCCGAGATTTATTTTACCGTGTAGTACCCCTGTACGACAAGCCAATCCGCACACAATATTCAGCGTAGTAGTAGTAAAAAACAAAAGAGCGGGCAACCCCACCCCTACCACGCTGTGGGCTCGGTGTCCGAGCGGTCTCATTCCTTTGTGCGCACGCGCAACGACCGCACGCAGTATAAGAAAAATGCTTAAGTGACGTCACCAGGACGTTTTTACCGACATAAAACGTAATTNCTGGTTCGTCATGTGTGGGTAAGTAGACCTTCCTACTTAAATACATTTTTGTAGACTACTATTGATTTTGTTTGTTGGATCTATGCACTGTCATTGTAATTGTCAGCTTTAAAAATATCTCCACCACTTTTAACAGAGATTTACCTAGCTTGCTCAGGTTTAGAAAAACAATCTCTAAAAACTGGTGGTTAGGTATACAAATCTGCTAAGGATCATAAAAAGCATTCGGTTCTTGTCGGCTTGAAAGATAACTCCGTCACTTTCANGTGTTTTAATTTGTATCACTTGGATATGATTTCTATTAGAAAGTGTTGTGAGTGTGACGCTTGAAGGGAAGGAAGTCAACCTAACCTAACCAACTGCGTATTTCTATACTGTGTAGCTGGAAATTGTGGCGGAGGTCTTTGAAGCGCTGTTTTCGGCGAAGAATTGCGCGCGCAGATTTTGACAGCGCGAAATACCTACTTTAGAAGAAATACCAAGCCTTAATCTCCGTGACGTTTCGATACCCACAAAATTCGTGCGTCTTTTGTGCCTACATTATTATCATAGCGATTTAAGTATGAACCATTGTATATGAAATTGACCAATCTTTAAAAAAATCTTGATGCTGTCTCACACGTAATTCAATGCTACTGTTCCAGGATAATCCACCCTATGCCGAACACCTACACGTTCACCAAAAAGATGGGCGAGGCGGTGGTAGCCGAGCATTCGTGCAAAGCGTACCCAAAAGCGATTTTCCGGCCCACAATAGTGATGGCAGCGCTCCGGCACCCTTGCCCGGGGTATATCGACAACTACAACGGGCCGAGCAGCGTCATCGTGGCCGTGGCTAAAGGATTCACGCACGTCTTCAGCTGCAGCGTCGATATGCGAGCCGATCTGCTGCCCGTGGACATCGCTATTGACACGCTCATCGCGGTCGCCTGGGAGACTGCTATGGACAAGTAAGGAACTTCAGTAATGTCTGGTCTATTGTGTTTTTAGGGTTAGACCCAAAGGCAGGGGCGTAGCTACTAAGGAACTAGGCAAGGCAGTGTCCCGGGGTGCCCAAGCTCAAGAGGTTCCCGAATCCTTACCAGAAAATCTCAATTAAACTGAACATTGAAATGTTTTCCCATTTTCAAAATAAATAGAGGGAAATTCAAATAAAATCAAAATTATCTTTATTTGTTTAGACTGATTAAATTAGTACTTACAAATCGTCAAAAATGCTCTTAAGGAGCTACCAGCGCTTTGAGACAAACATTTGGCAAGTGCTGAGAAGAAGCGCTGCAACAAACTCAGTCACCACTGAAATTTAAATAGTTATAACTAGGGAATTCCCCTAAATTCTTTCTGTGGATTGTAGCGGTGGGGCGCAATATTTTATTTCCTCCAGGGCCCTTGGTTACCTAGCTACGCCACTGCCAGTGGGCAAAAATGGGGCCCTACTGTGTCTGTCACCAGGCTGTATCTCATGAGAGAGAGCGCGTGAGAGTGGAGAGGTTGTTCACATTGATGATCTATTTCTGTTGCCGCTTTAACAACTACAAGTAATAGAATAGTCATATTTTCGTAATTAAATATTTAAGGGGGCTACTATACAGCTAACGTGATATCGGCCATTTTTGCTCGATATTTGTCGAGCAGACGACTACGTGTCACTCAATGTGATAATTTCATACTGTGCAACAACGCAGCGCATCGGCAACGCTTGGCATGTCTTTTTTATTTCAAATTCAAAATTATTTAGGCATTGGTCTCTTATAAATGCCGTATACTACATGCAGGATTAAATGCCCTTCAACCGTCAGGAAGACCACTTTTCGATAGGGTAAGTCCTTTACGCGGTATATCCGAAAAACCTAAAAAGCGCCCCTTTCGGGGGCCCCCACCACTTAAGCACAACTCCGTGGAAGTCGAAAACCTAGGAGAGTCTTAATGGGCAACCAATGAAGCCATTAAAGCAATAAAATCTTTTGTAGGAATTATTTCCGATTTAAAATCATATTCTACTGGCCTATAAGGTTTTATAGGAGACCATGGCTTAACAAGAATGTTTGTTTTTACAGCTCGCCCGATGTCCGAGTGTACAACTGCAGCACGGTGGAACAACCGACGAAGTGGAGCGAGATGTGTGCGGCATTAGTGGACGGTGTGCGTCGCGAGCCACTGCTCGACCTCGCCTGGTATCCCTTCTGCATGTTCACCGGGAACCGGTCAGTTCTTAGACAATTATTTAGAGCCACAGCATAAAGTGCTACCTTCCTTTCCATCAATCCTTATTATGTCTAAGTATACAGTAAGAAGGAAGCCACGTAAAGTAGATAGTGTGAATATGAATAGGTATTTTTCTTTGACTAATTAAAGTTCGTTTTACATTTTTTTCGAAGTAAATTTTTTTACTGATTCGTGATCAGAATAAGCTACTTAATCAACTCCCTGAATATGGCGAGGATTGAAATCAATATCCTGTATATTAGGGCTCTAGGGACTTATGCCCATTTTCACCATCAATCCTTAATGTTTAAGTGACCCCTATGGTAACACATAATAGGAATTTTGTTTTAATAGGGGTCACTTAAAAATTAGGGATTGATGGTGAAAACGGGCATTAATGTCTTAGGAAATAGGGACTCTAGGAACACTAGGGAGTTAGTTCCCTTCCTGACCATATCCTGGGGGCACGGGAGCGATGCTTTACAAATCCCGTACACCCGTATTAATTTACATTACTATGAGGTCTCACAGTGCGCGTGGACGCACAGGGTGAGACATGAACCAATCACTGCTTCAAGCAAGCATCGTTTGTGAATAGGTACGGGCGTTAGCATCGGCGATTGACGATTTAGTCAATATTAAGATGAATGACATGAAGTCGCGAAATCGCGATGCTGCATCGAATCAGTAGCGGATCATCATCATCATATCAGCCACAGGACGTCCACTGCTGAACATAGGCCTCGCCCAATGATTTCTACAACGCCCGGTTGGTAGCGGCCTGCATCCAGCGCCTTCCTGCTACCTTTATGAGGTCGCCGATTACTGATGCTAAAAGTAGCTGTGTGCTGTGTAGCTTCGACTTTGTCAAATAACATTATTTTTATGAGCTACTAGTTGCCCCGACGAACTTTGTACCGCCTATATTCATCAGAAACAAGATAGGATTCTAATGGTGAATGAATTTTTCAAGTCGGTCCAGTAGTATCGGAATCATTAAACTAATCGATACTGTTGCAAATACAATCAAACTAGCGGCCTCCCGCGACTTCGTAAGCGTAACGCGTGGGTCCCGTTTTACCTTAGGGGTGTAGTTTCGTAAAATCCGTTCTTAGTGAGCACCTACGTTCTAAAAGGATGAACAATTTGAGACTCCTAGCACTTGTAGTTTTTGAGATTTCGTGATGAGTGAGTACCTATTATAGATTAAAAGCTGCATATTAATATCCTCATGGTTTTCATTACAGGTTCATTTACGAAATTGTGAAGTTCTTGGTGCAGACTGTTCCTTTCCATATAATGGAATACGTGATGAGGATCTTCAGCCATCAAAAATCCAGGTAATATCTATTTGCGTAATGTTCACCAACGACACCTTCACCGTTTAGTTATCTATCGTCGTTAGGCTATCGTCGCGATTAGTATGCTGTTTTTTATTTTATTTACTTACTAGCTGACCCGGCGAACTTTGTTCCGCCTTAATGGCAATAAATAAGCAGACTTTTTTTTTAACACGTTGACTGCCAAAGTAAATTTACTAATTCGCTAAAATTGAATTTTTTGCTAATCGATGTGTAATGGCTTGAAATGAATAGTTATTGTTAAAAAATATTTTTTACTATTTATATTGACATATTATACCCATAAAAAAAACTGTCAGCCACCCGTGCCTGACGCGGCCCGAATGGTATAAATTTCAGTCACAGCGCCATGTCAAGCATTTTGTCAGGCACAACAAAATCACGTTTCTGCGTTTTGGCGGGAACTACCGTGTCGCATTGCTTTCCTCGCTTTAGCCCTCGTGAATACTATCGCTCTGTCCGGTTGCTGTCGGTCAACTGTCAAATTTCGGTCGTGTAAAGTCGAGAAAGACAGCAAGTTATAACTTACTCTCTTCAAAGCCCTAATCAGCCTAATTTTTGTCTGTAATGTTTCAATTTTTTAGACAAATAATAATTTTAATAATTATGCTTAATAATTTATTCCGAAATATATCGTAAACTTGTGATTTTATTAAGAATTTGAAAGAAAAGAAAGAAAGAAAAAATGTTTATTCAGTATCATCGACAATACACTTCATACAATTTCAAATATTTGTCGTGTTTTTACTAAAATTTTCATTCAAACCTGTGTTAATTTTTATTTAGGTACAAGAGTTGCAGGCCATGCTGAACATACTTAGTTGGGGGCCACGTCAGTCATTTAAAATAGGAAGTAACGCATTAAACGTGCCAGGCGGCCTACTGCGGTCGTTTGATTTAGATGCTTCAGTGTCAGGCTCCAGTGACTGACATGGCCCGAATAGGTTGCATGTTTGTCAGTCACCGGTGACTGTCATGGCAGCCTACGTGTTAATTTATAACGGGATAAAAAGTATCCTATGTCCTTCTCCTGGCTCTAAACTACCTCCCTGACAATTTTCAGCTAAATCAGTTCAGCCGTTCTTGAGTTATAAGTGGTTGTAACTAACACGACTTTCTTTTATATATATAGATTTTAAATATTAGTTATACAAAACAGGACAAAATGTCGGAACAAGCAGTACAATAAAGATAATAACATTTATGAATAATAATTTTAGCGGCCGTCCGCGACTTCGTAGGCGTGGATCCCATTTTACCCCCTTAGGGGCATTGAGTTATAATGTACTACGTAGTAATATTATTTCAATGCTTAGGGGTTGAATTTTGCAAAATCCCGTCTTAGTGAGCACCTACGTTCTAAAAGGAACCCCCATGCAAAATTCGAAACGTTAGCACTTGTAGTTTCTGAGATTTCGTGATGAGTGAGTGAGTCAGTCAATCACCATTCGCTTTTATAAATATAGATTTTGAAGATGTTTGGTTTGGTTCCAGGATCGACCTGATCAAGTTGGACTCTCGCTTGTCCGGAGTGAACGACGTGTTCGCGTACTTTGCGACGCACGAGTGGTACTTCCATACTGACAACGTGCGTCGGCTGCGCGCGCGCCTGTCCCGTGCTGACGCCGCGACATTCAACCTTGACCCAAGGACTATAGAGTGAGTTTTGCTTTGGCTAGCGTTACTTTATTGGATACAAAGAAATTAAATTATTTTGGTATCAATAACTGGCTGAAAACTTCTTAACCCTTTAACAGTCATAACATAATCATTTTTATTGATTTTGGACCTTAAGACAGCTAGTTACCACAATCCCAACTAATATTATAAATGCGAAAGTAACTCTGTCTGTCTGTCTGTCTGTCTGTCTGTTACGCTTTCCCGCTTAAACATCGCAACCGATTTTGATGAAATTTGGCATAGAGATAGTTTGAGTCCCGGGAAAGAACATAGGATAGTTTTTATCCCGGTTTTTGAAACAGGGACGCGCGCGATAAAGTTTTTCTGTGACAGACAAAATTCCACGCGGGCGAAGCCGCGGGCGGAAAGCTAGTATTATCATAAGGAGATAAGATTATTGGTTAAGCATCACTTTTCATCAGATGAGATGAAAGCCAGAAGCTTCTGGGAAAACCCGATGGATAAAAATGCACCATCGGCTCCACCATAGCCGTATGATCCTCGTTCTCCCTTGGCCTCTTGGCCCTACTTGAGTAATAACATCCATAATATCTGGTAGATTAAAAAAGATGTTGTTATGTTGCAGCTGGAAGGAAACCCACAGGAACTTCGTGCGAGGCTGCCGCGTCTTCTTGTGTAAGGGCAAGGATGAGGACCTGCCCGAAGCTAGGAAGCGACTCAACAGGTACGCACACACACATAGCATTATACCGTTCGTTCGTTTCAGCCAAATGACGTCCTCCCCAATGGGCAAACAGAAGCAAACGGAGGATTCGGCGTACTATGTGCCCTGTCCATTGTCATTTCACACCAGCGATTGACGATTGACGCAGAACTGACGGCCGATGGGGCAGCTAGATTCTGGAGTGGAGGCTGCGTCCCGAAAAACGCAGCAGCAACATAATAAAGATAGCAGGAAGGCGCTGGACGCAGACCGCTACCAACCGGGCAACATGGAAAGCATTGGGGGAGGCCTATGTTCAGCAGTGGACGTCCTATGGTTGAGATGATAATGATGAAATGGACAATTTGGCCTACACTTCTCATACTGGCCAGACGGATTGGGGAGGCCTAATATTCAAATTGTCCCGTAGCATGATCTATCAAAACCTAATGCTTAGGTACTTCATCTTTTTTCCAGGTTGTATCTCATCCACCGCGCCATCACAATCCTGCTCCCAATCCTGCTGCTATACCAGCTGCTGAATCCGAAACTGCTGTACAACGTTGCACAGCATCTGCTGCAATTCACTGCGCTGGTAACAGCAGGTCTGGTTAGAGCTTCAGGATTAGCAGCCGAAGCTTGCGCGTGGCTCAGAGACAGCTCTCAGCTGCCTTTTAGGATATTCTAGAAGGTGACTACACTGAACTTCTGACGCCCGTATTCACAAACATTACTATGAGGTCTCACAGTGCGCGGGCCACACACGAACCAATCACAGGGCTCTATTTAACGCTGTGTTCGATTTGCTGCTTCACTTAAGCAAGCATCGTTTATGAATACGGGCGTGAGCTACCTCACGAGCTAGATTGTGTGTTTCGAGTATTGAATGGCGATGTGCTTATTTAAAAACTATTAATTATGTTAAATAAATACTTCTTGTTAATTATTAATACACTAGCTATTTACCTAAGGTGCTATGTTTCGAGCAAATAGATCCAATAAATCTGAGGCTTAAGGATTTTCAGAGAATTTTCCATCGTACAGTAAAATCCTTTAAACATTTTTAGTTTTTGTCAAATTTTGAGAGTAAATCTCGAAAATCCACTTGCCTAGATCACGTCTGGTCTCTCTCAACTCAAAGATAAATTGTTAAGAATGTAACCGATCGTTAAGCATAAGTAGATATGGTTTAAGTGTATGGTGTTCTTATACCTATTCGTGTATTGTATAATTGTCATCATCCGCTCTCATCGTACCAGGCAAAATGATCAGTTAAAGGTCTCGTATCTTATCTTTTCTTTTATTAAACTGTATACACAAACTAGTGTATAAATGGGGAACTTAATGCTAAAAGCAGCCTCAGCCAAATTCGATCAGGGTTATCATTAAGAATCACATCCTAAACTCGACTTCTCGGAACTTATTTTATGAGTTTAGTTTACAATGCTACACCCAACGTAAATATCTTTAACTGAGTCTATCAGTAATAATTAATTCAATATTACTGTCATTCCTTCTTTCGGTATGAGTATTTTCCTTCATACCTACCATCGGTTCGGCAGTAATGACATTGCTTCAATGTATGTCATCATCACTGATTGTGTCTGGTCCGCGTACCATTTATTTATTTCTCCTCACTCATTAAATTTACAAAATCAGTACTAAAACATTTTCAAGTTAGTGAATAAATTTTATAATATTACATTAACTTAAAATTACTAAAAACTAAAATTTAAAAATTACTAATGATAAAAACTATTTACAAAATAAAAAATACTTCACCCCCAGCGCCGCAGTCAGGAATAGTGCCCAAAAGGCTGGCAGCATTGCCACGTTGAATGGCCAGGCTAATTCTCTGACCAAAATAGCTGCCAGCCTTTTGATCACCGGTCACCTCGGTGAGCCTCTTTGCCAGTTCCTTATAAAAGGAACGAGCGCTTGGACCCCATGGTCCCATAGTCTCAACCCCAAACGGCACAAATATATAACTCTCATTGAGAGCTGCATATTTGCGCCGCTTGGAGCACTCAGCCGAGGCCGCCGCCGCGCCTGCGGCAAGGAAGGTACCTCCTGTATGAGACGGAGCAAGCGTATCCGCGCATGTTGCGTCCCACACAAGAGGACGTCCCTGCTTCCAGGGAATGAGCGTCATGCCGTCAGGTCTCTTGCCGTCGTCACGGAGTATGCCGTTAGGCTCTAAAACTGCTGGCACATTGACGGCGACAAGAGCTCTGCGGATGACGTCATTGATGCAGGCGTGTCGGGAGACTCGACCAGCGCTCATTTGGCATGAGAGGCCATGGTGTCCTAACTCACCGACGCGAGTACCGCAACGACAGCGATGGGGATGGTTTGTCTTGACGCCAAGTCTAAGGGAAATGGCAAGGGACAGTGTACTCCTGTCAAGCAGAGTCCCGATATTGGCCGAAGGAAGAGCATGTAGCCAATAACCGGACTCTGCCTGAAAGACCGCTAGTAGGCGAGCACGCTCTGCAGCATTTTCGGAGGAAGCCAATAGATCACTCTGAAAACGCAAGCAGAGCGGCTCGTCCCACTGCCTCTGAGACTATTTGTTTTCAGCTAAATTCGATCTTCATCTTCTTAATGAGATCAGGGAAATGTAATCTCCCGTAATTTCTATTATAATTTTTTATCTTCTCATTATTTAACAGAATATAGTTTTTTTCTTCTTCAGCCAAATTCGATCAGGGTTATCATTACCGTGAATATCAGTTAGCTAAAGCTGCTTTATTTCTTTCTAATTTTACACATTATAATTAGGAACTTCATGTTGAGCCCACATCCTAGACAACGTCTAAAAACTTTAAAAAATTCGATCAGGGTTATCATTACTGAGAATTTCAGTTAGCTGAAGCTGCGTTACTTCTTTATAACTTTACATAAATTAAACACAATATTAAATTGTTTTTCATTGTGTTCAGCCAAATTAGAATGAGTTGCACATCGGTTCCACATACAGACCGCATACATTGTTAAGTTAAAGTATGTATACCTATAGTGTACATGGGAACTTAATGCTAAACGCAGTCTCTGCCAGTCAATTGTCAAGACTTTTTTTTTTCTTCCGCCAAATACGATCAGGGTTATCATTACTGTGAATTTAAGCTGCGTTACTTCTTTATAATTTTACTCGTTAATAAACACAATATTAAATTGTTTTTCATTATGTTCAGCCAAATTATTTTTTCTAAATCTTGTTACCACTTTAAGCGTCAATATTTGGATGCTATTCTGTCTTAATTTTGTAAGATAACTACATAATACAGACGCACATTAAGTTGAAAGAATGTGTACCAAAATAGTGTGCAAATGGGAATGGGAATGGGAATTTATTTCTTCTCATTCATTACATTTACATAATCTGTACTAAAACTATTTGTTTTCAGCTAAATTCGATCTTCATCTTCTTACTCAGATCAGGGAAATGTGATCTCGCGTAATATGTATCTATTTTATATTTTTATCTTCTCATTATTAAACAGAATATAGTTTTTTTTCTTCAGCCAAATTCGATCAGGGTTATCATTACCGTGAATATCAGTTAGCTGGCTGCGTTACTTCTTCATACATTATTAAACACAATATTAAATTGTTTTTCATTATGTTCAGCCAAATTAGATGGAAATGCATATTGGTCCCACATACAGACGCATACATTGTTGAATTAAAGTGTGTGTACCAATATAGTGTACAAATGGGAACTTAATGCTAAAAGCAATCTCTGCCAGTCAATTGTCAAGACTTTTTTTTCTTCCGCCAAATACGATCAGGGTTATCATTACTGTGAATTGAAGCTGCGTTACTTCTTATAATTTTACTCGTTAATAAACACAATATTAAATTGTTTTTCATTATGTTCAGCCAAATTAGACGGGGATTTGCATATTCTTCCCACATCTTACACAACGTCTTGTTGCTGGGAAGAGAACTCTTCCCAACAATTTTGTTGTTGTTCAAAATAAATTAAACTAGAGCCAATCTTTTAATCAAAAGTCAATGGTTTTTAGTTTATTTTTTTCTAAATCGTTACCACTTTAAGCGTCAATATTTGGATGCTATTCTGTCTTAATTTTGTAAGATAACTACATAATACAGACGCACATTGAGTTAAAGGATGTGTACCAAAATAGTGTACAAATGGGAAATTAATGCTAAAAGCAGTCTCTGCCAGTCAATTGTTAAAACGTTTCTGTCTTCAGCCAAATTCGATCAGGGTTATCATTAAGACTCACATTCATTTTATTTACATCTTCTCATTTAAACACAATATTAAATTGTTTTTCTTTGTGTTCAGCCAAATTAAATCAGGAACTTCATGTTGAGCCCACATCCTAGACAATGTCTAAAAACTTAAATAATCGATCAGGGTTATCATTACTGAGAATTTCAGTTAGCTGAAGCTGCGTTACTTCTTTATAACTTTACATATTATTAAACACAATATTTAATTGTTTTTCATTGTGTTCAGCCAAATTAGAATGATTGCATATTGGTCCCACATACAGACGCATAGGTACATTGTTGAGTTAAAGTATGTGTACCAAAATAGTGTACAGATGGGAACTTGGACGCCTAAAGCAGTCTTTACCAGTCAAGTTGTCAAAGCTTTTTTGTCTTGAGCCAAATTCGATCAGGGTTATCATTAAGACTCACGTCCATTTTATTTACATTTATTATTACATTTCATTTAAACACAATATTAAATTGTTTTTCTTTGTGTTCAGCCAAATTAGATCGGGATTTTCATATTGGGCCTCTTCTCCCAGACAAGCCCCGTGAGCAGTTGTTCAAAATAGTATGCAGAAGGCGACTAGACTTAAGGTCCTATGTCCCCTAGATGGGGCAGAGGGCGTCCACAACAGTCCTCCATCGCGTTCGGTCTTGAGCTTCGCGTTTGATCTCGGTCCAAATCTCGCCGATCTTCTTCGCCTCGTCTGCCACAGTGCGCCGCCAAGTTTGGCGGGGGCGACCACGTTTGCGTTTTCCTTAGGAGCTCCAATCTAGAGCCTGCTTGGGGATGTGATCGGAATCCCTTCGGAGAGTGTGGCCAATCCAGTTCCACTAAATTTACTGTCAAAGCTTTTTTGTCTTGAGCCAAATTCGACTAGGGTTCTCACATCTGTTTTATTTACATTTTCTCATTTTAAGTTTTTGACACAAATTAAATTTTATTTATTTATTAAACTAACCACAATATTAAAAATACTTACTTAACTAAACCCAAAGTAAATAAAAATAAAAAATAAAATAAAATAAATAATTTTTTTTTTTACATTTTTCATTGTCTTCAGCCAAATTAGGTCCTGGTCGCCGTATTGTGTGTGCTCACATCTTACACACGTCTTATTGCTGAGAAGCGATCACTTACAGACAAGCCTCGTGGGCAGTTCAAAATAAATAACTAAAATTAGATACAATCTTTTAATCAGTCAACCGTCCACAAAAGTATTTATTCTGCCTCAATTTTGTAAGATTTTACTACATAATACAGACGTAATAGGTTAATCTATGGTGTGGTATACCTGCATCAAATATACGACTAAATTAGTGGTTCTTTTAATCAGTCAACCGTCCTTAAAAGTTATTTAATCGTCAGTTTATTCTTTCTTCAACCACAACCGTTCGATGTTTGCCTTCAGCCAATTTACGTCAGAAAAGTAGCTCATTTCAGCCACAGGACGTCCACTGCTGAACATAGGCCTCCCCCAATTACTTCCACATCGCACGGTTGGTAGCGGCCCGCATCCAGCG